GTGCTGCAAAGAAACAACCACCAAACAAAGAAAACCTCAAAAACGCAAAAAAAAAAAAAAAAAAAAAAGAGGCCAGGTAAAAAAAATTCCAAGAAAGGCAGAAAGCGGGAACCAGAGAAGATCTAAGGCACAGAGAGACCCGAGGCCAAGGTGGAAGTGTCCAGGCCCTGGTCGGGACGCAGCGCGACAGGGCGAGTGGAGCGGGTGCCCCAGGCACCAGCTCCGGGCAAGGCACAGAGGCCGTGCGGGGAGCAGCTTTGCCCCTTGCATGTCAGTTCTGCCACAGTTTTGCCACCCATATGCAGGTTTTTCTCCATGCATGCATGCATCCTATTTTGCCCCGTTCTTGCAGGTTTTGCATCCCTGGGCCCAAGGGTCGCAGCAGCGGCTGGCTCGCCACCCATGGTGCTTGCTGGGCTTTTGAGCACGGTGCCTCATTAAGGGCTAATTAGCTCCCGAACAATGGGCAGCGATTGAGCAGCAGCACGGAGCCAAGGCGAGAGGGGAAATAAATAAATAATTCAGCACCGATAGCCCAGGAGTAGCGCAGCGGAGCAGTGGTCCAGCCCAGCACCGCTCGGCTCGGTGCCACCACGGCCTCAGTGCCACCACAGCCTCACCGCGGCCTGCGCCTCGCAAGCGCCTCTGCCACCAGCAGCGAGCGGCCGCATCCCTCAGCGCGGGCAGGGCCACAGTTCTGCCATCGCGCTTGACGTGCGCGGGAACGGCAGGACTTGGGGCCGAGAAAGTATGAGGAATTCACCTCCTCCTCCAGGCCAGAGACAGCGGCACTAAGATGTGCACATAAACCCCTTCGGATGCGAGCAAGCAGGCCAGGAGCTCAGCCCTGCAGTGAGAAATCCAGGATGGGAATAAAGCCTCTGGAAACCACGATCTCTATCGAGCACAAAGGAGCCGAGAGAAGTGAGGACGAGGCGCGTAGCAAGCGCTCACTGCGAGCTCAGGGACGAGACAGCAGGGGCGTCGCGGCTGCACATAGATGGGGACAGCGCCAGCTCCTTCCCCGAGACCTCTGCTTGGCTCCTGCGAACAGCTCGTGCACGCAGGCGTGCGCTTACCCTGTGTGCAAGACAGGTGTAAAAGAGAAGGATCGTTAACACTGCCCCGTGGTGACCGAGAGCAACGTCCCCCGGTCCCCGCACTGCTCTCGCCCCTCACACACAAGGAAGCAGTGGGCAAGGCTGCCTCGGAGCCGCCAGCTGCACCTGCTGCCCATGAGCTGCACACTGCCGACCAGCCGAGCTGCTGGCATTTGGGGACGGGATCCGAAAGGCCCCTTCCCAAGCACAAGCAGTTATGGACACAGACAGGGAGAGGATGCCGCACAGGGGCCTCAAACACGAGCCAAGTCAGACACGAGGCGGGCGCCCGCAGCACGGTGCATGCAGCAGGCTGCACATGCTGCACGGTGCATGCAGTGGGGAATGCTTCCTGCAAGACCAACCTGCTCCCTCTCCCCTCCCCAGCACCAAACTCCCCCTGGAAAGCCAGGCCCTTTCACTCCGTGACCCGGAGCTGGGTCTTTCCTTCATTCCGTGGCGCAGAGCCGGTGCAGTCAGGCTGGGATGTGTCTTGCTGTGGCTCTGCCAGCACCGTGACCCAGGGAAGCTTCAGAGGTCCCAAGGTTAAACCTCAGCACATCCCCAGCCTGGATGCCCCAAGCTGCTGTTGACGGGGGCGGTCAGGGCCTCACCGTGTGCAGCAAGCGCATGAAGCGCGCGCCCGACCTGGCTGCAAGAATGCAGGAGAAAACATGCACCCAAACGCAGCGCGGGGCTTCTTGGCCACGTGCAGAGGTGCAAAACGAGTACCGATGTTGGGCTCACATGTCCCACAGTGGCAGATCCTGCTGGCAGTTTTCCTCATGCTCCCCTGCCTGGCCAGGCAGTTGGAACAGCGGGATGGGGATCCCTGGCGTACTCACACAAGCAGAACGGAAGAAAAGAAACCAGAAAATCAGCCTCCCTAGGCCCAAAAATGACCTCACAGTTAAATATGGGCCACAGGTAAAATCTGGTTCAGCCACTGCACCAGAACTGTGCCACAAAGAGGGAGGAAACGGCTGGCCTTACCCGTCACACCGCAGGTGCCTCCGCATGGAACGGCGGCGTGCGGCTGAGCAGGAACGGGGACCCGGGCTGCATCTCCGTCCGGCCCCATGGCTCTGCAGGGAGCTCGCACCAGGGCTGCGGGAGCCGCTGGCCTTGCTGATGCACACAGATATCCACAAGCCCCAATGCTCACCAGGGCTGGAGCGGGATGGGGCGCTCAGCCGGGCACCCTCAGGCTCCAGCCGCAGCAGCGCTCGGCTCAGCTCGCTACGCCTCCCTCCAAACCCCAAATCCACCCGGGAAACCCCTGCGAGCGGTTCTGACAAGAGTTTTCAAAATGCCTGGAAAAGCCCAGCGGTGCCTTCAGAGGTGCCATGCAAGGAACTGCAGCCCCCGGCACTGGGTCAGCACCCGGCCCGCTCTGCTTGTGGCCCCGCATGCAGCAGCAGCAGCAGCAGCAGCAGCAGCAGCAGAGTCATGCGCCGCCGAGCGCCGGATCCATCCGAGCACGCTGGGATGGCTACCGGCACCGCGGGCACCGGGGCACAGCTCGGCTACCGGCATCCGAATTATTCTGCTCTGGACGAACCACATCTCCTCGAGCCGCAGCGCCGCTCACACCGAGCGCACAACGGGGAACGTTTCTTGCCAAAGCAGGGGATAGAGCCTTAAACAAGCACAGGGCAATTTTCTGCTTTTTTGATGCCTTCTGATTTCTCCTTCATGAAATGAGGCAATGGATAAAAAAAATATGGACGAGAACAAGGGACCAGAGGAGTGGAAAGAGGCTCCTCATTTTTAAGAGCAAAACAGCCTTCTAGTAACTCTGGAGACAAAAAGAGATATCGCTTGGTTTAAAAAGAAAAATGATCAAAAACTCAAGGGTAGTTTGTGCGTTTGCCACATCCAGTAAATGGCTTTGAGATCTCAAGTGCACAGAGCAGATCCCAATGCAAAGCATGACCACGTTGGGAAAATTTGGGTCATCTCACAGACCCAAACGCTGCTGAGGCGTCTGCTAAATCCACAGGCTGCTGTTTGCTCCTTCCATGCATCCGTTTTTGCTTCCTTTGCCCTATTTATTTTCCTCAAAAATATTCCCTTTGACAATGGCAGATGCAGGGGGGGAATAAAAAGAAAAAAATAAAAGAAGAAAGGAAGGAAAACTCCAGCTATTCAAGAGGCCAAATTCCCCATTCCCAGCTCTTTGCCAGCTCTGCAGCAAGGCCGCTGTCAGGACGCGATCCCTTCCCGCATCCCTCCCGCACTGCGGGATACCCCAGGAGCAACTTTGGCTCTGGACATCATGGCTATAGAATCCTTGGGCGCCAGCCCCACGCGTGGTCACCATGTCCCCAAGCCCACAGGCCACTGGAGTGACCGCTTGCACGGCACAGCCGGTGCTGCTGCTCGGCCCAGCCTGTGTTGGGCAACTGGGAGAACAAAAGAGAAGAGCCCGGCCGGGGCCACCGGGCAGGAGCGGCGAGCGGGAGCTCACGAGGGGAGAGGCGGCCTCCCTCTCGCGTCCCCCACAAAAATGCGAGGCAGATAATAAAATCCATATGCAGCAAATGCAGCAGCGGCGCCGGCGCGGGAGCAGGCAGAGTGCGGCGAGCACAAAAGGCCGGACGGCCGAGTCGCGCGCGCCGCGCTCGGGCGCTGCTCGTTCCACCACGCGCTGCTCGCTCCACCACGCGCTCACACGATGCCCAGGTCAACAATGCAGCCACGAGGGCTCCCAAGGTCCCCTCGGTGCCCAGTGGCCCATGGGCAAGACGAGCCACCCAGGCACAGCCACGCATGAGCAGCCCTGTGCCAACACGCTTGGGAAGCACCACAGAACACAAGGAATCGGCCGGCAACGTCCTCCCAATGGAGCTGCTCATGCTGCGGGCTGGAAAGCACCAAGTTCCCTGCCAAGGTCCTCTCCAAAAGCAGAGCACGAGGGGTGGCCCTGCCAGCGAGCGCATGGAAGACTCGCTGCCGCCCGCTCCGTTGCAGCGCTCAGGGCTCGCATCCCCTCACGAGCAGCCCTGGTCCCGCCGCCCGTCTGTGTGCTGCCTCTCGGGGGCACAAAGAAAAGTTGATTCTGCCCAAAGGCCAGCAAAGCCAAAGTCCGAAGGGACAGGAGGGTGACGAGTGAGCGGCACTGTTGCTGTGGCGGCTCCTCCGCAGCTGCTGCGCTGCACGGCGGGAGCAGGACCGCTGTGGCCACGTTAACTTTTACCAGTTAAAATCAAAATGAAACCAAGCAGCAGGACTGGGAAGAGGCTCTTTTAGCTTTCTACAAAACATCCGCAAGTTGTTTCATCTGATATGATTCCATTTGTATCCGCATGGAACAAGATGTGGGGGGAAGAGGAACCCTCGTGGTCTCCGTCACCTGCGGAGGGAACCCCGGCAGAATCCACCCTCGTGCCAACTCCTTGGCAATTCCTGCTTTCCTGAGACTGCAAACTTAGAGACGCGGTAGAGACAAAACACTCCCTTAAAACAGAATAAAATAAAAATTGCCTAAAAAACAAGAATTAATGCAAACAGCAAGCTGGGGAACAAAAAGAATTTAACAGCATTTTTTTTCTGCATGGAAAACAGCACCTTTGCAGCTTTTCGCCCTCCCCTGGCTGGCCCCGCGGCCCCCGCGCCGTGTCCGTGGGGTCGGCGCCGCTCGGAGGCAACTCGCGCGGCGCGGGGGGCCCCGCGGCCGGGCCGGGGCAGCGGCGCCGCCGGGGCGGCTCCACGCGGGCTGCGCCGGGGGCCGGACCGCGCGGGGGGTGGCGGGGGAACCCGGGCAGCACCGGCCGCGCCGAGCGGGGCCCCGAGCCCGCGGCTCCGGGCGCGGGGAAAGTGGAGCCCCCGCGGAGGCCCCGCGCGGGAGCGGGAGCGCGGCCGGGCCAGCCCCTTCCCGCGGTGTCGGGCGGCGCTCACCGGGGGTTGCTGCGGTTCCAGTACACGGCGTAGCGGTCCGAGATAACTTTGCCGCTCTCGTCGCTCCAGACGCAGACGCCGACGAGGGCGGCGAGCAGCGCGGGCAGCCCCCAGGGCGGCCGCATGGTCGGGGCTGCAGGCG